TATTAATAATAATAGGTTCCATATTTTTCTCAAAGAAAAATTTATACAAATTTCACATGCTCTAGTCAGTAGTTAAAAATACAGATAGCTTTTCTGAAATCTCAAATAGATCTTCATGATGTTAATAGCAATATTTGAATTTGTGTCAAATGCATTCAACATTTTTATAATTCTTGTAATCAATATAGATAATATACACAATGATTATAGATACGTTCACCTGCGCGTCCAGCCATGTCTTCCATTTTTTGATAAACAGGTACTCAGATTTCTCAAAGACAACCCACTCTGAAATTGCTAGAAGCAAAAAGGAAAAATAAATCAATATGTAAAATTAATTGAAGAAAGTCCTTTAGCTTGTACGAAAGAAATTAGATTTTTTAATAATTAGTTTAATTGTTTCTATCTTCTTTGTTATGAATGTACATGACAAATATAAATACAAAATATACACTGTGGTAGAAATCCATTTTGATGACAAGAATATATTTTTATTAAATAATGTGGAGTTTTTTTCAAATGTACTCTCTCTCTCTCCCTCTTTCCCTCTATGTGGATTAAAGGTATTAATATTACATCAGAAAAATCAAAGTCAGATTTCTCTTTGAATTTATAAGCACTCTAGTTAATATTTCTCTTTGATCTTCTAATAAAAACTGGAAAAAGGAATGATAAAATCGTACTGTGCATATTTAATTCCAAGGATTGAAGGTTTTTTGTCATTGGAAACTAGTCTTCAAAGATTTTTGTTGAATATCTGCTTACTTGTTTTGGCATAATTGGATGGTGGTACTTAATTGTCAAATAAAATTTTCAATAAAGATAAAATGTTTACATGTATATGTCTCTTTTATAGGTTTAAGTTAATTCTTGATTATTTGGAAATGAAACAATGACGGTTTTCCGACTGCATATATCTGAGAATTATATATCATTTGAATTCTACATATATACCATAAATGTGTATGAGGTAACTGGATCATATAATTAATCAAAGAATAAAAATATATATTACCATATCTTTTACCCATTGTAAGACTAGGAAAGTTAAAAGGAGTGATCAAATTTATCTTTTGGGATGTTTGAATTTCGATCTTGAATATTTTTCTAATATGTCATGTTGAGTCTTATAGAGCATGGATACTAGTATTGTATTGCAATCACAATATTTGTTATTGCGAATCTTTCTTGAACATAACCACTATTTATTTTAGATTTGATAGTTTAAACCATCATATCACATTCAAAGAAAACACTTACATGACGAGGAAACTGGTTGCATAGTACTTAAAATTTGTAACGCAAAACCATGGATATCTCACGTAACATCACGTCTTAAACATTTGAAACATATATATTACAATATTAACTTCTTTTTTTTAACTTACCTGAGGTAGAGAAATGGATGTATCCCGGAATGGTTTGTAGAGTTTTCGAGTTGATTTGGCCTGTGCACACACATTTCTTATATCCAGAATTATAGAAAAAAGAGGAGCAGTTTGCGCGTTTCCTACAGAGAGCACTACAGCTGAATAAACTGGAAACCTGTGTTAATTCTGAGAGGATGGCTGTCGTCGGTAATTTGTCATCATCAGCATGTACACGGGAAAACTCGGCTGATTGTTTGATTGTAGAAATACCAAAAGGAAAGTGTAAAAGAATAACAAAAATACGCAAAAGAATAAGCATTGTTATTTGCCTTTAAGTATAAAGCTATCCCGATTTCACATCCAAAATGGCAACTAATATCGATATCGATTAAAATGTGCATTCATACATTAGTAATGGCAAAATATTTATTATAAAATATAAACTGGTTTTGATTGTTATGAAAAAAGGTGAAGCAAAAATAATGAATCTACATAAACACATAAGAAATGAAACATTTGTCATTGCTGTTTATTTTTTTCCTTATTCATCAATTTTTAAAAGAAATATTAGTTTCTACTTTGTTAAAGATTATATATTTCAGTTAATTTAATGCACATGACATGCTCTTCGCATGAACAGATTTTTAACAGAGATTACTTTTTGACCAGTAATTACCTTTTTAAAGGTACTAATGTTCTTTCTATTTACAGAATATTTAATAAATTATATCTTCAGTAAAAATATAATTATTTCATCGATATAAAGGTAGATTACAAATATTAAATCATACTATTTTCATAGAATTGTAGAAAACATTTGCCTAATGTACGCTTAAGATTTCTTATTGTCAGCATTTTCACAACAGTATCATAGTAATGAATTGAGATCAGTGTTTAATTCTTGTCATTAGCAGAACATTTAAAAAAGAAATAGGGAAATGTCGTCATGATTATTTAAACAAAAGAACGTAATAATTGAAGGTTTTTATAGACTTTAGGTCTATTTAAGCTCCTTCCCAGGGCCACCGTAATTATCAATAAATCTCAGTAACGACAGCACATCAACAGTATTTAACAGTATTTATCAGACTCAACAGTAAAGGCGACAGTAATTATCAGTATTTATCAGCAACAACTAAAATTATTCGCAACAACAGTAATATTAACAGTAAATATCAGTAACTATCAGCAAGAACAGCACTGTATCAGTAATTATCAAACATTATCAGTGAAACATGGGATTCTCAGCACTTTTTTTTCGTCCAGTAGTGCAATGAGTGAAATGCTAACTGACGTTTTTCATACTTCTTGTTAGGCCATTATATACACACTAAATCGTAGATGACGATGATAAAGAGCAGGTCTATCAATTATATACTGAATGTACATTATTTTAACAAAAATGTATTTTTTGCTCCTTGGTATTTGGCATTAAAAGAAAGTGTATAGTTATGATTATTATGATTGCCTCTATAAAACAATAAATATCAAAATTTTAGATGTCTTTTAACAGAAAGGTAGGAGAAAGGAGATATAAGACCAAAAGAAAAAAAAAAGCTTCCACATAGAATGTTTCTCTCTTTAAGCCTCTAGTACACATTTTGATATTTCGTCGATGTCTTTGTAGTCAAAAAACATTTATTTTTCACACATATTTATTTCAAAGTATTCCACTGCACTCCGAAAAAGGAATCGAAGAGTCTGACACATCACTCAATATGCCTTTTTTTTTCTTTTTGAAATGGCACCAGTCGCATATCTTCAGTTTCATTGCAGCATTAAATCAAATTTAAAAGGTGTTAATACAAAGCTCTTTTATCATATACTTCCGTAAAGTGGCAATATACCAAATTGTCACCAGAATATGGAGTTCAGTCTTCAAATTAATAATTATACATAATAGCATGTGTATTGATATTTTTCACAAAGATCAGATACTTACAAACAACATGATAACATTAGAGGTACTTTGGGCAATGAACTCACCAGCCTCCCATATGTTTTGCAATGTGAGATAAGTGTCAAATCAAAAATTATAATTGGCGTTGAATGCACAATGACATTATGTAATGATTAATCTGAGAAATTATCATTAAATTATATTCAGTGGTATATGAGTTGTGGATAAGATATGGGTTATCTTCAATATCAAATATAAGAAAGCTTATTGCTCAAGTTTTGCCCTAGCAAGCTCAAAAATGTGCAATGGCACTATATAACAAATATTCAGTGAAAGTCTCATTTAATTCAATCAGCAGTAAATTAGGAGTTGTAGAAAATAAAAGGATATCCAAAAGCGTAACAGATGGACGGAAGGACAGACAGACGGAGGGACATCCCGAATAAAGGGGCTTGGGGTTGTGGCTATTTTCAGCATAAATTGATCTCCTTTAGAAGAATTGCTCCATATTAAGATCTACAAAAATATTCAAATTTTAAAACTAAAATGTATGATATTTTTCTTTGCGAAATGATAGTTGACAGCCTAAGATATCATCTAAAAATAAAGTAAAATCTGGGAGTTATTTTTTTTACCCCCAGCCTCCTTAATACACATGTATACCCTCCTGCTTTTCAAGCGTTGGTTAAAACGACGTCAAACGAAAAGTCGATGGAAATATAGTCCATCAAGTCAAAATTCCTGTTAGTGGAAACAATCCTTGATATGGCAGATACATGAGGCAGTTCATATCTACTTCGTCTGAACCTATCTGTTATGTTTCAAAAACCCTGGATTGGAAGACTACTAGTATTGGAATGATCATTGGATATGTTGTTTAGATGGCCATCGATTTGATCAATGACTTTCATAATAATTATCTAAATTTCAATCAATAAATTTAAATAATGAGTCAATTTATTCTTCAAAAAAATCTTTGAATTGTAAATATTTTGTGACGCCGAAAGGATAATTTTTTTTAACCGATCAGAAGGTGTTTCAAAGAGAATTTTATAATATCAATATAACTATGCCTTTTTTTTTGTCATTTACATGTTAAACGTTCTTAACAGATCAAACTTCAGGAGATTATTTATCAGTTACATGTGTATTCAACAAAAAAGAAAAATCAAACAACAATAATATAAAGCAATCAAACGTCAATTTTAAAGTTGTTGTTTGCAATTTATAAAATAAACTATTTTTGAATTCGATTTAAGCACACGCGTATTGGTATAAATCAATTGAGGACTTTAAATGTTATTTTCAACCACAAGGCAGTGTTCTGATCTGAGAGATCTACCTCCTGGATTTTCATTAAGAATCAAAAGGGCACCCATATAAGTGTGTTGTATTTTGGACATTTTCTTTATTTTGTACATGGTAAGATTTATTTTATGTAAGAGTAAATAATTGTGCTAGTTCGACAGGCATCGCTTTCAAGGTATATGATTATTTATTGGTCAGAAACAGTTACTGCTCGCAATATCCATTCAGAATTATTTTATTCCGCGAGTTTATGTCAACTGGTAAAATGTCAACATTATGAAAATCGGGTATGAAATGGTAAGGGCGATAAGCCTCTTAAAGATTGCTTAAACACAGAAAAGCAATAAAAGCTTTTCGTTTTGAAAATATTTTCAAAAATTTAATTATATACAATGTCATGTTACACTTTTTTTTCATGGAATATCTAGGATGGGCATACTGTTCATAACTTTATCTACAATACTTCTAAATTTAGTAGGTACGTATTTAAAGTTGCATATTTGTAATGATTTGGGATATTCAAATTAATGAGTTTCATACTTATGTAAACAGCTGATTTTTCAGATTCAACGTTTTACTGTAATTTCTCTCCAGGTAAGTAATTCGATACCTTCATATAAAACCAAACTAACTGATTTAATTTATGTATTAAATCAATAAAAAAAACATAACAATAAAAGATAGGGGTTTTCAGTGATGGATATGTTTACTTATGTCGCCAAGTGTAGACACGCATCTCTCATATGAGATTAATCAGGTAATGAAACCTATAGATATAACAAACATCTTAAATTATTGACCATTACATCTGTTAAAAAAGTAAACTAAACATTTGTTAAATCCTACTTTTCAGAAACCTTTTCGTATAGATATTATGAAACCTTAATGTTCATTTCTGGGTGAATATTTTTTTATCATTATTTGAACCTTTCATTTGAATGTAAGTAAATGAAACATTTAGTACATATTACTGTATTTAGGCATCTTTCAGATGCTTTATTATTAAAATATTTTTTTTCCGTAACCAATGGAAGAAAAAAAAATGAAACTGTCGAATTTAATTGATGCAAAACTTTTATGTACTTAATCAATTAGTTTGAAGTTGAAAAAATAATAATAATATTTAGGAAAACTCTTATTTATGTGTTTAGATCCATGTTCTTCTTCAAATACATTATTTGAGCCCTTCGACAGAACAAGGAACTGTGTATTTGATTCTAACTACTCACCATGTGACAGATACCTAACACCAGGATGGTATAAATCAGATGATCCGATACTGAATCAATGCCCTCCACTGAACAAATGCGGGACACTTTATCCTGTCTGGCTGAATGGTATCTATTTTTTAACCTATTTATTGCATTTCATTTTTGTACTTTTTAAAGAAATTAACATTTGCATATTGATTTGGCTTCTTTCTCTGTAAAGATTCCTTACCTAATGCTGGAGATCCTGTTACTACTAAGAAACTTTGCAAAACTGGATTCACTGACTGCTGTAGCAAGGAATATGATATCCAAATAAAGAACTGTGGGTCGTTCTACGTTTACTGTCTTCCTGCGTTAGACTCCTACCCGGAAAGAATTTGTTTTGGTAGGAAAATAAATATATTATATAGTATTAGTCAAATTTTATTTAAAATTTTAAAGTTTATTATAAATTTTTGTCAACGATTCAATGGACGTTTTTATAATAAGAGATATTTAGCTCTTATTCCCAATTTTCTTTTGAAAGGAACAAATGGATCTTGTGAATACCCAGTCACTACTACAGCTCAGAATGATGCAAAACTGTCTAACGAATACAAACGTATGGTGTCTTCTCTTTTTTCAACATACGTTTTAAGACTTGTTCAACTTTACAAAAAGTGCTTTAAACATTACTTCTATATTGAAGTTTTTTCTATACATTTCAGAACTAGAAGAAAAATATATAGGCACAATATCAGCAGTGATCGTCCTTCTTTGTCTTTTGTCTTTGGTTACCGCAATCATCTTCTACTACATAATGAAGTAAATAATAATGTTACTATTAAATCTTAAAGAAAATACTGATTTCTTTGGTTATAAATCATACCCTTTCGTGAAAAAGATCTATTCATATATCTGTTATAATGTTATTTTTTCAGCAAAAGGAAGTGAGAATGTGAAGTCAAACAAAGTGCTCCTGAGATACGCAAGAAACACGGTGAAAACGTGGCTGTATTTACTATGGATGGACCAAACAAGGACCGTGATAATAGAAATATTCCTGACATCAATTTTCAAACAATACATGTTTCAAATTAATAGATAAGGAACAGATATAAACTAAAATGGTATTTCGATAAAGTCCAAACATCAATTTATTTCGTGCACTGTGTATTTTAGTTCATGTAAGTACAAATTAAAGAGAGAAAAATTATAACAACCTAATTCTCCCCGTTAAAAGACAACTTATAAAAAAAGATATGACAAACGAATTACTTCAACTTTTCCATTTTCAACTCTCCTTACTTATTTAGTACTATTCAATTATCAAGTGCTTTTGCTGTTTTTGTATCCCAGCGTCTACATAAAAGTTTGCTCTGAGAACGATCAGTTTTTAAAACGAGGCAGGTCACTCACCAGTTAGTTAATGTTACAGGGATTTCAACAGCATCGTTTAAAGTCAGTTTTTTGTAAAAGGTCTTTATAATGATCTTCATAGCAAAAAAAACTTGACTTTGGTCTTTTTGTGGCTGAAGTGTAGCAAATTAATTGTTTACCCTTTTTTTTTTACTGAAGTGACTTCTGTTATTTCCACGTACCTGATCAAAACATATACAGGGCCATGACGGGTTTGATCAGTCAACAGAGGATTCTTACTTATCCCAGGCCTAACTTGAATTCAATAAGTCTTTGACGTATTCTTTCTTTATGTATTTGTATTCCTTATGAAGTACCGTTCACGGTAGCTCAGTCGGTAGAGCGTTCGCTATGTGATCGGGAGGTCCTAAGTTCGAATCTCGGCCGAGACTGACCTAAGTCGATAAAAATGGGAAGCAACTGTTCCTTCGCCATGCACTCGGCACTTTGAAGTGAAAGTTACGGGTCCTTCGGATGAGACCTTAAAAACCAAGGCCCAGCGGCAGGCCTTGGAACGTTAAAGATCCCTCACTGCTCATGGTCCTGAGTGCCGAGTAGTGTTCAAAATTTTAAGCCCTTAGTCGGCATACAGTGACGTCTCTATATGAGTGAAAAATTCTCGCGAGGTACGTTAAACAATATACAATCAATCAATCCTTATGAATTTTTCAAGATAATATTTGATAGAAAGCAATGCAAATCATCTAAGCTTTTAAATTATGAGGTTTGAATTATAATTAAGATTCAGAACAAGAAAGTTTCTAAATTTCTTTTCTTATATTCTTTTCTCATAAAAAAAAAATTAGAAAAAAAACGTCATCAGCCTTTTTTCAATGAAAAGTATTTTATCATGTAAAAAGTCTTCTTTTTTTTCTAATAGCATTATCACACAGTGTTCAAAATTTAATTTAATCTCGTCGAAATAAGTATGTATAAATATAAATAGATTTTATAAGCACTATTAGGAGCAGATGTAAAATTAGACCTTTGATCATATAGTTACATTTGATTTTAAGATAACAAAACAGATTGAGCAAGTCTATGCCACAAAGTTAAGATTTAAAAACCTTTTTAAAGATAATTGTTTTGGTATTTTAAGATTTTTTAACCTTGCTTGAAATTTATACAACTGTTTATTTATTCAGATTGGTGTTTTAATGCATTGGCATGAAACATGGAGATAATAAAAAAGTAATCAAATTGAAAAAGCCTTTCTTACGAGGGTTGTCCAAAAAGTTCTTGGACAATGACGTTTTTGTCCAAAATGGTTCTATATACATTTTTTCTATATCAAAATATTTCTTATGGAAAACAAAGTCAGATAGATATCATTGCAGCCCGGAGGACCGGGCTGCTCTATACATATAAGTTTAAGTGTTGGTGTATGGGGATTTGGGCGGGAGTTGTTATTCAGAATTAAAGATTTTCTAATCATTGAAAAAATTGTTAATCAGAATGCTCTTTCCCTTATAAATTAGGAGATACATAATATATTTACTTCCATAAAGTGAATCTGTAAAAATATACATGTTTTTCATATTTAATATACAAAGTTGCTGATCATTTACTATGGAAAAAATTACAGGACCCTTTTTTTAGAACATCGAATTTTACTTCTCGCATAAAAACGTACTCTGCACAGTTCGTGTTTTAGGATAATCGAAAATTGAAAATTAAAATACATTTTTGAATATAGGTGATGCATGAGTCTAACCTCTATTTATATTTTATGCAACCAACATTTACTTGAGATATTGATCAAGATTAAAACGGTATCGTTTTTGTTTGATTTTTATCCGACTATGAGTTTTCAAAATATTCGCCACTATCGTCTCCATCAATTAGACGCATGCCTGTTCACACATATCAAAGCGGTTTGATGATCAAGACTTAATTTCATTGTTACTTTATATATTTCCTGGGCGACAATTGATGGTTACATCAATGTTTTATTGTTTCTATTTATGTAACTTTATATTTTTTGTAAAAGTCAGGGTCCTTCAATGTTGCAGATGGTGCGCATGGACCAAGGTTGAAATTCCATGAAGTTTGAAGAAAGTGTTTGAAATAAAATGATTATTTTTATATAAAACAAGTCAAAACTTAAAAACATTATATTTAACACGAATAAAGAAGCTATTATCATTTTTTGATATCTAAAGTATTGGTTACTGTATAGACAGTAAAAATATTAAACAAAAACCATTACAAAATATGTGTCAAAACTCGACAGAAAAAGCGGCCGTCTGAACAGGACAACGTACGATTTAAACATTATGTTTTAATACGGTTGAAAAGACGTCAGAGACTACATATTTGTTCAAGCAACTCAAAGTTCTTAGAATATATTTTGTTTAATGATTTGATATAGGTATATACGATTTTTCAACGATGCGTACAAATTGTTATAAATCTAGCGCAACAGCAAACTCATCGTCGCAAACCACGGCCAAAATGTACGATCCTCTCCCATTCTGGTTGAACGAGGAGAGAATTCTTCGTAGCTCATTAAGATATTGACCAATGCGAGTGAAGCATTAAGTCGGAAGATGAACTTTATCGCGACCTTTCAATATCCAATCGCAGTAAAGGAAATATTTCTTGTGTACTGTTGACGTCAGTTGTTGATTTCAATTGCGATGGAAAGAAAACTTGCCACTGACTGAATATGACGTCACAATAGAGAGGCGTAAATATTCAAGATTACGACACTTTTTGTGATCAAGCAGCCACGGGTAGGAGAGAGCTATTTATATGTGGACTCCGGACCATGGCCCGAGACGATGCAGCAAACTGGACTATGCAGCTTGTGTGTACGAATTATTAATATTGATGACGCTCGTAAAAATGTGTATTGTTTTGAATTTTAAAAATTAAATGAATCATAATCTATCCTTAAAAATTATTGCTAGCTCTTTGCAGTGTGACATAATAAAGAAAATTTAGTGTGTGTTCATGAACATGTATAAAAAAAAAAATAAAAATCCAAATGTTTGATGTTAAAATGAAATAAGCTTAACGTCAAACTAGTCCGTTCGCATTATAGTTACATCGTTTTACCATTATCCGTTGGTTGAAAATGCTTTTGTGTATCGAATCAATTCGGGAGTATAAACCTCTGATGTAGATGATAGGGGTATATTGAAATATCCATTAAAATATTTTTAAGAATGAGTGAATTTAGATCACTTGGATGTAAAATATTTGAAATGGGATTAAGATACATGGGTTGGACAAACATTCTTAAAATATTTTTATGACTATGGCGGCCTTATTTCAATTCTTGTAACAACAGATATGTGAGTTGTTATTATAATTCACTTATCCCTCAAAGAAATTATATGTCCGAGAAACAGAGTAGCCAAGGTTAATTGGTTGAGGGGTTACTCGTTGACATTACTAGAAAAAATATAATCCTTCTTTTTTTTAAAAGAGGTGAACCTTTGAAAATTTCTTTAGTAACAAAAAGAACTGAAAATTGCATTTTATTATTTAAAGGACTTCATCTTGCGAATTGTTAAGCATGGTAAGAAGTTTGTGAACCATAAAATGTCTGACTGCAATTTGCATATAGACTTTTAATGTGGCATTATTTCATATTCAGACTTGTATTAACACTGTATACACTACTGTAGTAAATTTTCAACTTTCGATTTAATCAAAATGCAAATGTTACGACTTATATGTTATAAATATCTCAATAATTGCTTTTGCGATTTTGAAATCTTGAAACATGTAAGAACCAACTTCCTGGTCTGAGAACTACCTCCAAAATGATTGGTGTTTTAAGTTTCAATATTATTCAAACAGATGAATAGATCAATGAAATATAAGCCACTTTTCAAAACAATTAGACTTTTTGAAATCATTATTTGTGTAAATAGACCAAATGTAAACTCACATCAGGAGAGACAAATATTAAAATGACACGTCTATTCAGTCAATTCAGGACGCATTTATTTGTCTTTGAATAGATTTGCAAGTAGTTAAATTTTTGTTTAACTTCGACCTTTAGTTATGTTGCAAACAAATGTCGCTTTTTCAATCATTGAATTTGGGAGAGAAAAAAAATCAATGAAAAGATAGCATTGAAAAGAAAAGTACATAAATTATCTTTTTAACATGTTATCATCCACACATTTTTCCGAATTTGAACACAGGGAGTTTTGAAAATTGATTGTAAAATCTGAAATCTTTCAAAAGGTGCAATATTCATGTATTTTAAGTTAATCCCATATATACCTCATATGATTCATTTTTTTTTATTCAGCGTAAAAAATAAATTGATATAAACAATATAATTGACATCGTTTCTCTATTTTTTTTCTTTTTAAATCTCTTTGGATGATCTTAAATTGACATCAATAATTCGACTATGAAAATTCGAATTGAAGACATGATCATTTTTTTTTTCGGAATAAGCTCATTAATATTTTAGCTGGAAAGTCAGCATTCGGAGATTCTTTACATTGAAATATATACATGTTTTACTTTTACAGCTTTAAACATGATATGGTCAGTAAAAGGTTTTTGAACTACTGATTAACAAGCAGAAAAAAGCAGTAACAAAATATTAAGACAATATGATGAACAAACAGTAAACATGTTTTTTTCTCAGTTTCTAAGAAGCAGCTAAACTTTATTTCATTCCATGTAATAAACTAGTCTTCAAAGATCATGATTTATGATGCTTTCATCATGATTTATGATGCTTTCTCAAAAAAAAAAGGCTACACATCAGATTTTTTTATTTTATCTCTATTTT